GCACTGGCTTAGTAATTTACTAGCAAAATAATACTGATTTACTAGCTGTCTGGTTTCATAAACTCCACATATTACATTTGTCTACACCATGGTACAAAACTGAAGTAAAATAAAGAAAATATCATCATCATCATGATTTAAACCAACAAAACCTTGGAAGCCCATTTAGGAATTAAATCAAGAGGTAATTGCAATTTGGGCACCAAAGGGTAGTATTGTACCTCAGGATTGCATTCATGGTTTGCTTCTTACCTTCAATTTTTCATGTTTTTATTGTATTCAGTCATAATTCTAACATAGTTCATCAGAGAAGCTTTACTGAAACATATTAGAGATGTTTCTCCTTTAGTGCTTTAATTTTACAACAGATGAAGTGCAACACATACATTAAGCATATTCATTACGAAAATATATATGTACCTGCACATATATAAATACGTGCGCATACACGCACATGTGCACCCATGAGGTAAAATGATCAAGTAAAGCCACAGGTGCTGTAGTGAATCCAGATAAAAGAACTTCAACCAGCTATAAACACAAGCTGGATAATTTGCTGCTCTTTACGCAGAACTAAAGGGCAAAAGGCAGCCCACTTCCACGGGGTCCAGCCACGCTAGCGGGAGTTGTAACCATCCCAAAAGCATCACATGTGAATGCATGCAAGCATTGCGTTCAGAGCAATATTTAAGAAACTATACAACGTTCTCTGCAGAAATTAATCCAGTTTATATGACAAAGGCAGTTTCACAATATTTCGTCCCAATCTATAATTAACTTTGAAAGTAGGAAAAGAATAAGTCATGACACTGCACGCGGGCCTGGGCAAGGATCACTTAAATCAACCGATGTGGGAAAATAAACTACAAGTTTTGAAGCACTTGGTGACACAGGCAGAGTCTCAAAGACTGCGAGGACAGTATGCCAAGGTTCCTCAAGCTCTGAGGCCCAGTACTGCACAGCCCGAGTCTCTGCTGACAACCGTCAACGGACAAGGACAGCCTTGTACGTGGAGAGTTTCACTGGCAGCGTGCACTGGGAGATTCGGACGGGCCGGGGAAATGTTAGTGCCGGTTCTCCTTCTTCTACCCAGGGCTGTGTTTTGCTTGACGCCTACGGGCACACACGGTAACACCGTCTGCTGCGCATTGTTTGGGGGTGGGTGTGTTTGCAGGCCATACATGCCTTGCAAGGTACTACTCAAAGTAACTGAGTGTAGCAGAAGTGGGCACTGAGGCAAAACAAATGAAATCCAGATGTTACCAGTGCTGATCATTAATCTAAAACACGGGGATTTTTACTGTCACTTGTAACACCCAGTAAATAACAACAGCTACATTGACACACATTACAGCAATCAAACACAGTGCTGTTATACGGAGAAAAATCATTATTTGGCCAAACTTTTGTTTGGCTGTTATGAAGGATGACATAATTGTCTTGAATTTGGTCATGCAGACTTCAAAGAAGATGTGGTGCCAGAGAATGAAAGTCCGTTTATGCAGTTTTATTCTTCAGACATCCATTACATAAGGCTTGGATATGTAAACGTTTAGCATTCAGCATAACAAAGATTCAGCTTCTCAACAGAAATGCTCCGATACCTTAAATGTTTGTTTTCCAGAGTTAACGTACATTTTTGCTTCAAATACAAGCACAAGCCAAGTACGCAGCATTTGACAGGCGAGAATTATTGTAACGGAACG